ATGTGTACGTCTTACAAGTCGCACTCAGTGCTGTTATGTTTATGTTTAGAGAAAATTTTGTTAAAGTCTCCTATAATTCGCAGTTTACAATAGTCTTATAAACAATTTATTGACCATATGATATTATATGATACCTGTTTACAGAACAGGCTCGTAAGGAATCACATCTTCACTCTTTTATCAAAACTTGTCTCTTGTGACTCAAACCGAAATTTAAAACGTTTCATCAGTTTGTTAAAAACTTGTATAGCATTTATAATCGTAAATGAAACGCATATTTACATGTTAAACATATCATGTATTGTGAAGATACATGTTACAAAATATATTTACATTGCCAATGTTGAACTGAAATACATGCATATTTCACCATACTTGTCCACAAGCTTCACTAATATTAATACATCGTTCTCTATATATTATGTTCCTATTACCTGTCTAGTGAGTGTTCACAAACTTTACTAAAATTAATACATCGTCTTCCATATAATATTTTCGTATTACCTGTCCAGTGAGTGTTCACAAACTTTGCTAAAATTAATACATCGTTCTCCATATACCGTATAATATGTTTGCCCCACAACACGCTTCTCCCAATAACACATTCATTTTACCGCTGTTATTCATTCGACGACGCTATATACACCCTCAAGTTGTGCAATTGAACACTCGAGGTAACTCCCGAGAAGCTCTCAAAAGTCCACGATGTTTTCATTCCATTTTTTAATTCGTGCAACAACGACTGAAATGATAGCCTTTGTGTCCAGGATGCTGCTGAAGGCCGCGGGTTTTGCCGGCGGCTGCTGCAAGAATATTCTTACATCGCGCTTTGTCGTTCAGTTGCAATGTCTTATAAAAATGACAGAAATACGAATGGATAAATGAGAAATGGATAAATACGAATTTTTTCAACATCGCACTTGAACACCTCAATGCCACGTGCCATTATTTTGAGAACACAGTCGACATCTATAATAATATGATAATAATGTAATTGTGGTTTCATCTTTTATTAGGCCGTATGCCGGTCGCAGATTCGTAACATCGCAGAACATTCACTGCTTGTTGTGGTTACGAACACGCAACTCACTCCTCTCATTTTGCTGTGCTCAACTGCCCGACCTCCTCGCCGATTCTGACCAGAAACTGGCGCACGAACAGAGCTGGAGACGAACCAGCACTTTTTTTCTCCATTCATGTTAATCTGAACTGTAACCATTGGGCCACCATACCCTAACCACCTAAACATCTAGGAGAATGGAAGAAAAATAACTTCGAATTTTGAGCCTAGTCTTAGTCTCCAAACTTGACCAAATCTAATCTCCCAGGAAACCAATCACGTCAGCAACTGCTGCCCCCTCGTTTATGTAAGCGACTGATGAGCAGCAAATACGAATGCAGAGATACATAGTCAAATAGTACTGTACAGCAACATAGCCAAATAATACTGAACACATTCTATTATCTCAATTGATACAACTGCGAAAAATATTAATTAAATTGCCTAAGAGAAGTGCCATTTTGCAACACACGGCAAAGGGATATGGTAAAACACGGCAAAACTCTAAGCCGAGCGAAAAATAATGTAGAGCATTATGAACCTATCATAAGCGCGTTATGCTGGTATTAAGAAGTATTATGAGCGTATTATGAACGTATAATGCGCGTTTCGATGTAATATTATCAACGTGCAATAAACTATTTTGAGCGTATTTATATCATATTATGAACGTGCAATGACCTGTTGTGAGCATATTTAATGAACGTATAATGAAAGTATTTAGAGGATTATAACGAAACGAGCGAATGACTTTCGTAGATGTTAGAGGAATTTGGTTGATGGGGAAGGGCAAAGATTCGGGGAATGGAAAGGAACGGCGGCCTAATGCATGGGATGAATGGCACAGATTTATTCATTTCAATTACGCTGATAGCTCGACTCTGGTCATCATTTGCATTGAAACCTTAATGGAGCGAGTGGCTGTGCTGCTGCCACCTTCTGAGCTAGAGCTCTTCTGTTGCATCGAATGAATTTAATCATGTATGTTCAGTCGTGAAGTGTAGGTTAAAATTATGTAAGTGAAAATGTTACATTTTAAATATTGTTATTTAAATAAATTAATGACATTTAAATTTAAATCGTATTTAGATCCACAATTAATTTTCCGATAACAGACCTTGATTTGCTCAGTTACAACAGGAAGTGAACATTTCCATCAAGCCAGATAAGTTTCAACACAGGAAAAAAATTTATTGAAGAAACTCGGTCCCATAATAGAAATACTTTTGAATACCATAATTGAACTTAAACGCAGAATTGTGCAAAAGCATCAAAGCAGAAAAATTGTCATCATGAAACTATATCCTCACTGCAAGCTTGTGTTCATAACAAACATGAATGTTCACTCGCCGTTCGAAGTTCATTATTTCCTTTTAATATTTTACCTATTCACGTTCATTTGCCTGTTGTCTGCTGGGCCCATACTTTCAAAGAATGGTAAGAGATCGTAAGTTCATCAGCCAATCATTGACGGCCTTTCAAGCTAAATCCACCAATCATACACAAGAAAATAGAGCGTAAGTACTTACGTTCACTTAGCGAGTTTTAAAGTATGGCCCCAGAACGCTTGCAAATCTTACCTGACTACGGTCATACGGGACTCTTCTGGACCCCCAAGTTCAATAAATTGATCATGATTATGTATGTACAGGCCTGATTATATTGATTATGTATATGTATTATATGTGGGGTAAACGTCAAATTTTGGGATTGGAAAAAGGACAGCAATTGTCGGTGGAACTTCATTATTTTCTGTTACATTTCCTTGCAAAGTAAAACGTACTCAAATTAGTAAAACGTACTCACTCATCTGTCATTCTTTTACTTCATCTTAATATTAGGCTGTAGCAACCCTATAATTTCCTTTGAATATTTGTCTAGGCATGAATATTCTCAGCATAGTTTAGCATGCAATAACTCTCTGAGGCACGAGTGCTTTGATATGAATAGTTGATATGAATAGCTGATATGAATGGCTGATATGAATAATTGATATGAATAGTTGACTTGTTCTTGTATCGGAACTTGTGCACAACTCTGCTGGCCGTGGCAGTCTAGTTAAATCACGTTAACTAATTAACAGTTTCACCAAGGTGATGATAGAGGGACACGCAAACATTACATTGAGATTCATTACATAGTTTAAAATTTTCCAGACAAGCAAGGATTATTCTAAGAAGGCATTTTGCTATTTTTTCCTGGCTAATAATGTAATTTGCGTAAGGATAATAATGTAATTTGTGTAAATGGGCTAGTGCAAGTGCTCGTCTTTTGATAAATAAGTTAGGTTACATCAACGAGCATTTAAATGATATCATGTTCCGATTATTCTCTTAAAGGACTGATATTTGATCGTCCTAGGAATTACTTATAAATCCAGGAAAATTATAAGTTACTTATCGGCAGTGATGCATAAATGTAATTATAAACCTATGCATTTTTGCCTATTACAGAGAAGTACGGAATGCCCACACAAAATTGGCGGCTAAACTTGGAAGCAAGAAAATCAAACAATAATGCGCCGTGAGAAAAAAATTAGTGTAATATAATTCTAAAATTATCAAATGAATAAACAATATTGGCTCAATTTCATTATTTTAGAATATGACTATACATATGTTACCCTTGTTATTTGCGAAACCATTTTGCTATCACAAACCGTTTTTTCGCAAATAAATTGAGAACACAAACCTGCGGTGATTCCAGATAAAGATGGAGGTATGCGTGGGCCAGGTTTGCATTCGTAGTCTCCCTCTCAAATGAAATTCTTGGAGGAGCCAAACATTTGAAATATGCCAGGGAATAATTCCGTACCAGCAACGGCTCTGTTTACTTTGCTGTTCCTGTTCTCCAGTCAACGGGCAACAGTGAAGGCAACTCCGAGTCAGTTGCCAGGCCTCGAAAACAGTGAGTACTGAAATATATTTTTTTTAAGTAAATAAATAGTTTAATCAGTGAAAGCCCTAATACAATACAGTAGTTTTAATTGAAATTGCAGAGTAGTAGTTGCTTCAGAGTTCACTTCAAGCCAAACAAGTTGAATATGTGAGTTCAAACGTTTAACTTTAGGTCAATGATACCTAATAATAACATATTATGTATTGTGAAAAATAGGTAATCTTATATTATGAAATGTGTTATACCTAACAATGCAGTGATACCGATATTCACGTTATACTTCAAAAAACATATAAACTTTTAACTATAGACTCTAGCCCTTAGGCAGGTGTGTTGTCATGGCGGTCTCTATTTCCTCTTCAAAACTGCAAACTTTAACTCCTGCCAATGCGTAGGTCAAAGAAAAGTTTGCAGTCTCCATTTCAATTAGTTATTTAAATTATAATAAACCTTTATAAGTCAGTCCTCATTACTGACGCATAATGTCCTAGAGAAACAGCGTAGGAAATTCCTGATGTTTGCGCCTTTGTTGTTGTCCAGGCAAGTCATCACACGAAGAGGAGCCCGACTCTAATTAAAGGAATTGCTATAGAAATAAAGTCAAGAGCCTTCTTAGCGTTTTCCTTTAATTAATGGCTATGCAGAAAACAAATAGAAAATTTGACAACAGGTCCGATCTTGGCATCTAGCAATAATGGTCATGCAATGCAATGGCTTTCTAAACATTCCTTTGAACGTGGGTTTGAGAATACGGTTCAAATGAGAATACGAAATTCAGTGCTAATAATAGTTAGTGTTAAGCATTGAAACTTGCAGCTCCTCTCTTTGTGTTCTGTATTCGACTGCTGGAAGTAATTACAAAATTAATGTACATTCTGCTATTATAGTCATATTCAGTTACAATTATATGCAGTCTTTCTTTCTGTTCTTTGTCAGTTTAAAGTTTATGGACAATCACATTAATATCTTTTCTGGACCTAAATCATCTGTGCACTGTTAATTACAAGATTATGGACGTTCTCACATTTATCACCAACGCCGTATGGATAAAAAATGTATTGCCGTACTGCCCTGCCCAGGCCCCGTGGCGGAGGTGACGGCGGTGGCCGGCGGTAACGCGGCGCTGCCCTGCGCTGTGGACGGCGGACGCGACGACCAGACCATCATGGTGCTGTTCTACCGTGGCCACAGCGGCACTCCTATATACAGGCGAGTGAGTGGTACGGGAGTGGCGGCACTCCTATATACAGGCGAGTGAGTGGTACGGGAGTGGCGGCACTCCTATATACAGGCGAGTGAGTGGTACGGGAGTGGCGGTACTCCTATATACAGGCGAGTGAGTGGTACGGGAGTGGCGGCACTCCTATATAGAGGCGAGTGAGTGGTACGGGAGTGGCGGCACTCCTATATACAGGCGAGTGAGTGGTACGGGAGTGGCGGTCACCACACAGCGATATCATGATCATTTCACCTCACATGTTCATCACAAAGCGCTATCATCACCATACCACCTCACATGTTCACCACACAGCGCTATCATGATCATTTCACCTCACATGTTCATCACACAGCGCCATCATGATCATTTCAAATCACATGTACACCACACAGCACTATCATGATCATTTCTTCTCACATGTTCACCACACAGCGCTGTCATGATAATTTCAAATCACATGTTCACCACAAAGCGCTATCATGATCATTTCACCTCACATGTTCACCACACAGCGCCATCATGATCATTTCAAATCACATGTTCACCACACAGCGCTATCATGATCATTGATTCCGCAATACACATGTTAATCACACTCCCCCTCATCACACACCATCACATCACCACCCACCCCCCAAGTGGGGTGATTAATCAGCGTCGATGTGCGATCCCGCGCCTCGCCCCCTCGGGGGCATTAAGGCTAAGGGGTTGTAACGCTGGAGTTTTTAGGTGCAGACGCTCGGTGAATTATTCCGGGGGTTATTCCAGGAGTTATGTGGCTGCAATCCTACAGCTAATCAGCGTTAGCCTGTCTGCGTTGTGCACTAGCCAGGTTTTATATCTAGGAACACCTGAACTGGGAGGACGCAAGTAAGTTCAAATAAATATTCTAAAAACTATTCTACACAAGCTGCCGCAGTTCAATTAAACCGAATAAGAGAAATATTGTAAACTCACAAGCAGAGACGTTGGAATTGGTATAGACGAGAAATTATGAGCAGTTCTGTTAGCTCGTAACTTTGAACAGCTATTCTGGCCGCTCGCTAATTGAGTTATTAAGAGTATGAATAAAGTTCTCAGCAAATGTTCTCAGCAATGTTTGGAGGTGATAATGGAGGTGATAAACCAGTTATTATATTCGCGAGAGATGCAGGTAGCAATAGCATTGAAGTTTGTGTTCGATGTTTGTGGTGCAGCCTGGCTTGCTTTACATTGCGTTAATTACCGAGGTTCTTGTACGTGTCGCATGATTACTACATGTGATAAAAATAGTATCAGTAATCAAGTTATATTAAGTAGCAATTACTTATGAATAACTTGGAACCATTCATGCCTTGATGGTTAAATGGCTTACTCAATCATAACTTTCAATTACAATATCCTAATTTTTGCTAATTATACACAAGCGATTAATAATGCTTGAGACATTTGAAAATATATATCAGAGAACGTATTCACGACAGAGAAATAACAATAAATAGCTTCATCATGATGCAAATGAATATATTCTTTATAAAAAAAGCCTTCCGTTGAGAATTTTGCATCACTCAGACATCAATAATAATCATTTATTTTGCTGCTAAGAGTTAAAGGAAAAAGTTCATCATATCTACGCAAGAATTATGATGGAGGAATTGTTAATCTCCTGAACGACATTTGGCTTCATGTACAACTTCTTGACAACTTTTTAATTAGAAATTTTTGAGAGAGCCCTAAGAGTTTGGAAGACTTGCACAGTCATTGCCAGACGCGCGCCTCCAACTTTGTCTTGATTCTGCAATAAGCGTCAAAAAATATCCAGGCCAACATAACAGGAATGTTTTTAAAGTTAGGCAATCAACGTAAGTTTGAGTGCTACTTCGGAACGTCAAACAACTTGCAGGCCGTGTATGACCTCAAAATATGTTAGTCTGGCCTAAGATATACCGTTTGTGTGACCTTCGTAGAAGCGCAATAACCGAAAATTAAAATTTTTTCCCTTGTTAATGTTGCATTATTTTTCATATCAAGGTTTGTTCAGGACGATTCAAAAGGATTTGTTGAATTCTCAGGACCATTTAGACCACCTGAAACAAGGGCGACAAGGACGAGCTTTGGGAACGACCAAATCGCCCAACCAAATCCACCGCATTAAAATGATTAGTTCTAATTAAACACGAGGTTTCAACTCTGTCTCTGTCTATAATCTAATCTGTAAGCCATAGTTCGTTAACAGCGAAGAAATTAAATAAAAATTGGATATCTTTGTTGTCTTGCGTCCCTAAAAAGTGCAGTGTCATCACCGATATATCGACAGGCTCTAACTCCTCGCGCCTCTTGGCTACGAAGAAGCGACTTCTCGCGTGGGCGCTGCAATAAATGAATCTGCGTCTCTGCTGCTGCCGGGAGATTTTCAAGACTCGATATTTGGTGTTCAAAAATATTTGAAATATAGAAGGATTTTTAGTCGCATTTAGCTGGCACTGAGATTTTTTACTTTTATTCAGGGATATTAGTCTCCAAAACATAGTTTAAAAGCAAGCAAGACTGGGCCGCATGGTCTATCAATTTGAACAAAATAGCTCTACAGATAATAAGGAAATCAGGCGAATCTCATATCGACTATTCCTAAATCAGCATATTGAACTTCCATATATCAGCATAGTGACTATACATGTATCAGCATATTGACTCTTCATACATCAGCATATTCGCTCCATATATCAGCATAGTTACTATGCATGTATCAGGATAACGACTCTTCCTAAATCAGCATATCGAACTTCCATATATCAGCATAGTGACTCATCATACATCAGCATATCGGCATGAAAAAAACAACATGTCGTGATAACGGCCATCTTATATAGGGACGTCGCTCTCAGCCTGTGTTCGTCACAAGTAGACAATATTTGTCGTCGCTTGTTTTGCCAAATTTTTGGCGCTTGCCGACATAGCGAAGAATATTGCATGTGAGGCCTAAATTCTGTTCACGTATTGCCTCATCTTATGTATTTATTGCGTACGAGGGATCGTCATGATTGCAATCACGCATGTTGCTTGGACCTCATATGTTCACAGTGCTCCCATACATACGTGTAGGACACAAAACATTTAAATGAGAGGATACAAGGGAGGTTTAGTGGTAGTTAAGTATACGTCACCAGCACAAACTCACTTAGGTATTTCCCAGGTAATATGGCACTGGCTTTGAACTGATTTATTATATAAGCCAAAAAAAATTGGCTTGAGTTTCAGAATTGATGGTGCAGGATACGGTACATAAATTTTCACTTATTACCTACAAACTCTCATAAAAATTGCCAACGGAAAATAACGAGCATAAAAAAGTTCTTTGAGAGAAAAAGCATTTTCAATCTATCAATTTACTATTTCATGGCATTTTGTTTCCGATACTTGATTCACGCATAAGTTAAGAGTTGCTCATTTGCCCTAAACTATAGAGTCCACGGGAATTGGTCTTTGTTCTTAATTTACGCTCATTAACAACTATTTAATATAACGCGCAATCGTGACATGAAATGCATTCATTCTTCTTACATAATTGTCTTCTAAATGAAAAATTAAAATGAGAGATTTAGGCATTTTTTCTGTGTATATATTATATAGAAGTGCCTCTGGAATATAGAATAATGCTTCTATTAGCATTAGATTTCAGAATTTTCTTTTTGAAACATGTACGATTAACGTAAATTACTCAACTGTCAGTTCACGACGGGTGGCATGGTAAAGGTGAAGTCAACGAGGGGCGAAGAATAATACGTGGCTAGTGGTCGGCCTAGTTTAATGACCAGCGAATGCATTATGTTCCAAATTTCAGAGTCGGAAAATTCTTCAGGTGACGTCAATAGATCAAAAGGCATGCAGGTCTAAGTTTTCAAGTTACAAGAGGCACTGAGCAATGAAATGTTGGTGGACATAAGTACACAATACACGTAAATAAGATACAACACGAAAAAATTGAAACAAAAATGACTCTGAAAACCATCTCAAAGTTCAAACAGTTCCGGTAGTTTGCAAACAAATGCTGGAGTCCAATCTCAATAGATGCGGGTTAAATATATTATAATTACTTGCTGAGGCCTGCCTTATGATCTATTATCTTCATCCGAAAAAATTTTCGACCTCCTAAAAATTGGAATATAATGCATTCTCTGGTCATTAATCGTATGTGCCTCAATAATGGTTTTGTGTACTTATCTTATACTGTAGTAATTTAAAGTCAGTGACGTATTTTTTAACATTGTTTTTTTAGTGTGGACGGCCGGACATCAACTTTAGTCCACTCGGCGCACTGGCAAGATCCGACAACTTTGGGCACGAGGGCAAACTTCAACTTAAACTTCGACCCTCCAAGTTTGGTGATCAACCCAGTGCAGCTATCGGATGAAGGTTTATATCGGTGCAGAGTTGACTTCAGATCTTCCAGGTCTAGGAACAAGATCGTCAAACTGACGATAGTGGGTGAGTAGAACAGTGCCATGTGTTGAATTATACTAGTAGAAGTAGTAGTATAAATGGTAGGAGTAGTTTAAGAGTTGACTTCAGATCTTCCAGGTCTAGGAACATGATCGTCAAACTGACGATAGTGGGTGAGTAGAGCAGTGCCATGTGTTGAATTATTCTAGTAGAAGTAGTAGTATAAATGGTAGGAGTAGTTTAAGAGTTGACTTCAGATCTTCCAGGTCTAGAAACAAGATCGTCAAACTGACGATAGTGGGTGAGTAGAACAGTGCCATGTGTTGAATTATTCTAGTAGAAGTAGTAGTATAAATGGTAGGAGTAGTTTATAATACTAGAAGTGTAGTAAACAACAATGCTGGTGGGCTAAAATGGTGGCAAGAGGCACGGGTTAGATACCCAGCATCATGGATTTTTTTTATGACAGCCACTCACCAGCGTGGTCGTGGGCTAACTATTTTTTTATTAGTCTTCTATTATTTTTTTGGTTCCTTATTGAAAAATTGAACTTAAATTCGTACCAATATTATTATTTGCTTGTAAAGCATTAAAATCTTGTTTTAAAATCGAAATATTGCAATAAACTAACACTGTAAATCAGTACGCAGCTCTGATCCTTTGCTTTAATTGCTGAATTGTCGACTACCATTTGCAAGTTATGAGCTACTGTTGTTTTGCAAATGTTTAACTTCAATTTAGATGATTCAGTTGCACCAAAAATTGTTGAAGTTAGCATTCAATTCGGAAGCAAACTGTTGCAGCTACACGGAATATTCGAGTTTCGCGCCCGCCAAACTTTTTTCAACAGGCCAGGTGATAAAAAACCCTCGGTGTTGAAGAACAATTTACACTTACACTCAGATTCCCACTTCAGCAACGCGATCAGTAATCGTGCATTCCCGATTCAGGAATCGAAATGACACTCCACTTTTCGCGACGTTTTCGTTGCTGAGGCGACGATTGCTGAAATTTTGCGATACGAAACATTTTTTTTAACGACTCAGGATATTAAATTTCATGGATTTATTGCTCTAATAGCAAGAAAGGTGCAAGAATTTAAACATATTTGAATTATAAACGCATTTGTGCCTCCATTTTCTATCAATATAGATATGGGCTATCGTGCAAGTTTAGTTTAATTTGATTAGCTTTCCGCGTATTCAAAAACTAATATTTAATAAAAGAACATTTTCGATTCATCGATAGAATTATGTTTTATTATTGGCTCATAAAAAGGACTGCAACATTTTTAATGAACTTCAATTTTATGCTTAACTAGTGTGAAGATTGCATTCCAGCTGCATACAATCCATTCGTTACTGAAACTTTCTTGTAAATTCCGGTATATTGTAATATATAATTATTCAGACAGTGGCATCCAAGTCCCACATAGTCAATCAGTGTCGCCTTTGCACCATGCAATCAAACACAGTCAAGTTATGAGATCTAAGAGGCGCTCAAGGCTCCAGCAGTCAAATTATGACTTCTAAGAGATGATCAAACGCTCAATAGTCAAATTATGACACCTAAGAGACGCTCATGACTCCTGTAGTCAATAGTAACGTAACCAACAGTAACCTTAGTAACGCTCAAGGCTCATGTAATCAAATTATGACACCTAAGAGACGCTCAAGGCTCCAGTAGTCAAATTATGACACCTAAGAGATGCTCAAGGCTCCTGTACGCAATAGTAACGTAACCAATACTAACCTTAGTAACGTTCAAGGCTCATGTAATCAAGTTATGACACCTAAGAGGCAATCAAGGCTCCAGTAGTCAAGTTATGACACCTAAGAGACGCCAGCGTACCCCAGATTGAAGCAAAGCCTGAGTGGCGTTAGCGCCCAGTGGCCGAATGGAGTGGGAGGCGCTTGACTGGCAGCCTGCCAGCTTGCCTTCCATCTCTATCTGGATTTCATCCAAATAGTTTGCGCGACTTCCATTCAATTAGGCAGCCATGAGACTTACGCATGCGAGGCTGCACTGCAAGATTACCACGCAATATCCCGTTCATAGTTGGCCTGTATTTTTCTCTGCGCTCGTGTACCATGAAACTACCATTCGCGGGGGCATCATTCTATTCCTGAGGGCTGTCGAACATGACCTTTCATTAGTTATATTAGTCGAGGCATGAAATAAAGGGAGAATAATACCTGCAAGGCTGGGTTATGGAATACAAGGAGAGGCATGAAGTAAAGGGAGGATAATACCTGCTAGGCTGGGTTATGGAATACAAGGAGAGGCATGAAATAAAGGGAGGATAATACCTGCAAGGCTGGGTTATGGAACATATAGGGTGAAAATGAACCAAATGAAAAATATAAAATATGACAATTGACACTAACTTAAATAATATTAAAGCAGTAAAATGCGCGAAAAACACGAGCATTAAAGGAACGAGAAATGTAAATTACTAAGAAACAATATCATGGGCAATATAATTTATCATTCCATTCAATGATTAATGACAGGATAGGAGGAAGGCGTCCATGGCTGACGATCATAGTTCGTATAATATGATGTTTAGATAAGAACATAGCTGACGATGGTAGTTTATAATATGATGTTTAGATGCTCGTGGAATCGTGCGCTTAGTATTTTGATAGAAGATTTTTTTTTTATTTCCATGAAGTGTAGGAAGTCCCAAACAAAAAGATGTTCAGAAAGAAAGTGAAAATGACACACGATATTCAGGTTCAGATCGTCAATGACAAATTTGTTTAAATTTTACATAAATTAAAACGAACAGAAGAACGACAGAATTAAAGCGACAGAAAAAATTATTATTTTTAAACGCGCCATGCATTTTATCACCAAAACAACCATATGACCTTATTGATGGAGGCGATGTAGTTATTTCCATGCCAACCAAGCAGAAATTTCGCCGGCGCTGCCGCCCAATACTGCATGTCAGGGCGTCGACCACGGAATTTACACATCAAATTTATCGGCTGCCACGAAAATTTCAAGTAATTATTTTCGCTGCAAAATTCATATGATCGCTAATGCATAATTTCGGAAAATGAAGCGTTTCTTGACATACTCGTAGGCAAAGAGTAACCATTTTTCAACAAAAACTTCGATCAATAATCATAATATAATCCTAGCATTCATATTAACCCTCTACCGCCTGACACGAGTAACCGGAGCAATATTGTCACAAGCCAACTTCCCAAAAGGATACGTTCTAGTGAGCGCAAAATGGTTGCCGCCACGTACAACTTTAAAATCTTCTCTGTTGCGTACAAACGTCCTCAGGTTGCTACACCCAATAGTTTACGTATAATTTAAGTTGAAAGTTATGTTCCCGGAGAGTGACATACGGTGGTATAAAGAGGGTTAAGCAAGACAGTTCATCAACATTATTAGCTTACAGGCCTATTAACTTTACTCCAGGAAGTATTGCATTTCAAGTAGCCACTCTCCTAAAGAAGAGCCGCATTCCCCCACCACTTCAGTAAGTGCCCGACTCGCTGAAGTCGTTGCAGTTACGACTTTCCCGCTCAGTTCAGACGACACCATTCGCAGAGACTAGCCTCGTTAAAAAGCACCTCACTCGTGTCAGATTTTATAGACGAATTCTTCCGGGTTTCGAGTTCACTCCAATTAACCGAGGAAAAGGCAGCGTAAGATAAGAGTTGATTTTTTTAATTAGATCTTGTAGGCAGACAATATTCGTTATCATTAGGGAATCATTGTATCAAAAGATTGTTTCTCTAATCTAAAAAATTCAATTATAATAATATCCCTCATTCAAAGATGTTTTCTCCTGCAACTTCCGAAATTTCAGGTTGTTCTTAATAAGAAAATTATCACGTTAGCCCGGGGTTAAGCGATATAGTTAATCGTAGAAATTTTAGAAATCATTCATTGAGAATTCTTTCATTTCAGTGTTAGATCTAATGTACACTAGAAAACCCGGTTCAAGCCTTCATTCTACACAGGACATTGAGTGTACGGCCATTCGACTTGAGTTTCAAAAGTGGGAGACAACAATTTTGCGACTTTTAACTTAACTTTATACAATAATATAAATTAAATTGTAATTTTTAATCCGATCTTTTGTTGTCACATATAAATATTTGAGAACTTCACGGCAGTGAATATAATGTCTATGGGAAATGCTATGAAAAATAACTAGAAAACTAGTAAATAGAATAAAACTCGCAGGTATGCTGATGTTGTCAGCATACCTGCGTAATTTAAGAATCCCATTATTACAAATCCCGTTATTGCAAATCCCGTTATTGTAAATCCCGTCATCCCCAGCCCTTCCATCCCGGGATTTTAACTTTCTATGTCTGAATGGAACGATCGCTTGTCGAAGTAATATCACGCTTCAAAAAAACTCTTCCATCCATTTGTTCTACCCTTGAAGTCTATCATTTAAAAAAGCTACCACGTAATTCCACACACATTAAGTATCCTAGTTACGCTCCCTAACTGACTCTATACACTGCAAGGCTTCATGACACAAATTTGACAAATATGTACAAGTACGAGTAGTAGCATGAGTGAAAGAAAAATGTTTTTTAAATGGCAAAATTCAATTAGAATGTATGGAATACTTGTTGGAAATATATGCAGAATGAATGAAAAATACATGTAAAGTGTCCCGAACGATAAGAGGATAAAAGTAAATCTAGGATAGAAGAGAAAGTAGGCAAGAGTCAAATGAGACTTTGTAATAAGTGAAGTCAAAGCGAGCTTCTGGACTTGGGCAATGCGAATTAATAACTGCTTAAGTTTCCCGCTATTTGGACTTTATTTCGTAATTCACGTTGATAAATTGTATGGGTAAGTTGATTTATCAAATTCTGAATAGAATAGGCGCGTTTGTCTAATCTTTAATTTGTTAATCCATAAGCACAAGACAATTACGCATTTCTATTGTTTATAAAGCTTAAAAGTTTCGGAGTAGCCATAACACAGTACTAAATTCAAGTACTATACCAATGGAACCTTACCTTCATTTCTATAGCTTGGTTTACTACCTGCCAGTGTACGTCTTTCAGCTCAACTATCGTCCTCACCGAAACGCTCTTAAACTCTACATATTTTCGACCTTTAATCGCCGAAAAGTCCCGGATGTTTATGAACTCCGCCCGACAGGGATTACAAATCAGCCTTTTTTATTGCACGCTCTTATTTCAGGTGGAACTCGTACGGTAGTAATAGTGGATGAGATGTGACTTCATTTTAATGTTTTAAATATATGGGATTGCGGTCATTTTGTAGGCAAATAAAATGCCACTCTTCCTTTCGAGCGTTATGAACCGACCTTTTCGTGGTTTTTTTTATACATTGATATTGAGAAAATTCAAAATTTCCGGCGATTCAAGTCCACTCACTGAAAAAAGGGATAATATTACATTTGCAAATTGCAAATTTTTTCTGACGACGCATTTCCAGCTCGCAAAATGAGAACATTTTATCAAAGTATGTAAAGTTTATTTCTTTGATAAAGTGAAGACGGTGATGAATAAATTATTTTCGGTCAAATTCTAGCCAAATACTTGGCATGTACCTCTGCTATCAGGATATTTTTTCCCTTAGTGAACCTCTTTCATTTCAGATTATTAAAGAGTTTTTATACAAAAATAGGATGCAATTAATTTCCATGTTTTTAAGACGAAAAATTAAACTTTAATTATTTCTACAGTTATTATTTACTCGCTAAAATTTGATTAGCTAAAAAAAAGTATGACATTTCGTGCATGCGCTGGATGTAATGAACTCCATTTAACTCAGAATCGATGGCATGGAAAGTCATTCTAAAGGGTTTAGTTTTTAGTCATGGATAAAATTGCGCCAAACAAGAATTTTGGAAGGAAATATCCGTCTTCTGTTCAGATTGTTTCGCTAGAAATTACTTTTTGTACAGAGTCGATTGTTAAAATGTCGAATAATTTCTGCTCCTTCGAATTTTCTGCCTTAAAATAGATTTTTTTGCCATTGGATATTTTGAAAAATTCCGTAAACTTTTTGTAGAGATCGAAGTCCGCCCAACGGCCCCGGGTGCCGGTCTAGGGAGGTACGGGCAACATACACGAGTCACTATAACTGTACTACTAAATACTATAATTTAGTACATTATACTATGCACGGATATTAATTATTGTCGACCATATAAGTATACATGGGTCATCTATACTAGGTATGACTAGAAAGTCTTTAATTTTAGTCAGTATAATATTTTCAGAGAAGTTAGGGCTATAGATGGCACAGTCGCCATTTTTACTGACCTCTTGCAAAATCATATGCTTGTGATGCGTACGTGTTGATGATGCGTACGTGTTGATGATGCGTACGTGTTGATGATGCGTACGTGTTGATGATTGCTTTATATGCCCCAAGTGAAGCGCGTTAATTACTTAAATATGAAGGCCTAATTTTCTGATTTTTTCTACTGTGCAGAGGAGAAAATTACCAGCTTTATTCTGAGGGAGAATTCTGATTAAAAGCTTGGGGCCCATTACGTATGCTTCATCGTGGATTAAATAGATGTTGCGAAAATTGTTTCAAAAAAGCTCTAAAAGTTGAAAAACTTTCAACTTTCATTGAATAGCATGGTATTGAAAATGAATAGGGCAAGTTAAACGAGGAGAAAATTATTAAACTTTCAAGTTCAAGTTGATAGTTATTCGTTTTGATTTTAGTATTTCTAATAATTTTCATTTTGTAAGGTAATCACACAAACATAACAGCTAACAATTTTATTTAAACTGCAACGAATAAAATTTCGCATCCAGCGAAGTAGAATAACGGAACTGCTGTAGATGCAGTTGAGGGAACTGAAATTAGAAAAAAGGACCTTACTAAATGAATGCCGGAGCTTGAAAATAATTATAGCAATTATAGTCAGTAATTCCAATTTAGCGGTGCACAACTTGACAGTGAACGTATTTTCCAGTCTAACCTCAAATGAAATAACATATACATCGGAAATAAGCAGTCGTGCTGGCAGCACTTGAGGCATGAAGCACACGGCAAAAGAGATGCGACGAGAATACCGTAGGTTATACTGTAAATTTACGGTTAACAAGGATACCGGATGTTATACTGTAAATTAACGGTCAAGAATATGATTGGAAAGACAAGTAAGCGCTATTGTATCGGATTCAATTCATTATTAGGATCAGAACATACATATCAATTATTCAAGGTACGATTAAATATTTCGAGACTAACCTTCTAAATTATTACCGCTGGGGTCAATTTAGAAGTGGCTTGAAAGCCTTTCAGAGGTATAAAGGTATTTAACAGTGCAATTGAGTGCAATGGTTAAGATATTAATGAATGGCCGACCCAACTTGGCTAAGTTAATAATTAGGTTAATGCGTCACAGGGCTTAGAATTAATGCTCAAAAACGAGTAATACAGCCAGTACAATTAATGCGTCATAGACGTCTTTATGGTGTTGACCTCAGACCAAAGGAGTGAAGTGGCATGCATTAACTTGACAAGGGGCCCATAGCATGCATTAAGTCAAAATAGTCACAAGGGGCCCATAGCATGCATCAAGTCAAAATAGTCACAAGGGGCCCATAGCATGCATTAAGTCAAAACAGTTAATAGGAAGTGAATAGCACTTGGGTTACTGTGAGCAATACAGCAGCCAAGAACACCATATGAGTCACCTTATCACACAAGTTTTCTAAAATTCAAGACCTCTTGCATCAGTGGTTCTCTCGAAATCAATACCATTAATCTAACTTAATCTTTAAGGTCTCCGTTAAATTGAAACGGAACGTGAATTTCAATATGCGGAACAAAATTTATAATAATTTGTTCTATTCGTTAGGTAATTTTCGCATGTAATTCGTATATACTTGTTCTATTTGTGAAGGTCTTATTCCAGTATAATTCGGATATACTTATTCCCTTTGTTAAGGCCTTATTCGCATGTTATTCGTATATACTTGTTCTATTCGTGAAGATTCTGAAAATTTTCATAACAATTTTTAGGTTAAAGGCCGTAACTGTGATACGAAGATAAATACGGTTAACAAGGATACCTGGGGTTATACTGTAAATTTACGGTAAACAAGTATGCCGGAGGTTATACTGTAAATTTACGGTTAACAATTAAGGATACCGGAGGTTATACTGTAAATTAATGGTTAAGAATCAGATTGGACAGACAAGTAAGCGCTATTATATCCGATTCAATTCATTATTAGGATTAGAATATACATATCAATTATACAAGTTACGATTAAATATTTCGAGACTAACCTTCTAAATTATTACCGCTGGGGTCAATTTAGAAGTGACTTGAAAGCCGATCAGAGGTATAAAAGTATTTAACAGTGTAGCGCTGTTACATTAGTAGTGTCTAACTATTAATGTAACTTAATCTTTAAAGTCTCCGTTAAATTAAAGCAGAAAGTGGATTTCAATATGCGGAACAAAATTTCTAATAATTTGTTCTATACGTAAAGGAAATTTTTGCATGTTATTCGTATATACTTGTTCTATTTGTGATGGTCTTATTCTAGTGTAATTCGGATATACTTATTCCATTTGTTAAGGCCTTATCCGCATGTTATTCGGGATCTACTTGTTCTATTTGTTAAGGTCTTATTCGCATGTTATTCATATATACTTAGCAAATTTACCATATCGATATTGAAAACGTTGCGTTTGAAACTTGCACGATGTGGTGAATTTGCTTGGTGTTTTCTTTGCTTTTAAATTCCTTGTGAGCTTGCGGTATAAGCAGACTGATAATATAAGTACTCGTATATACTTGTTCTATTCGTGAAGATTCTGAAAATTTTCAGACCAATTTTTAGCTAGAAGGCCGTAACTGTGATACGAAGATAAAACATCGAGAAGTCAAGGATATTATGAAGAATATCACCGAATTGAAATTTTCACTTACCTGAATCGTTTATGAAAAAAGCCCATGATACTTCTTTATTCATAGTATACAAAATCTACAGAGATAATATATAATATACTGACTTTCTTTAACGACGCACATGTTTTAAGTATATCGCCAATTCGCTTAACTCGCAGCGTACACTACAAGCAAAATTTTAGCGAACAGTCTACCGTTTCTTCACGTTACATCAATGCAAAATAATGATTAAGGTTTCGAAATATTGCTGAAAAGTTCGTATTTACGCATGTTCGTAAACAGATTAATTATCTTAGTTGCCACTAACTCAGGTTCTGTATCGACTTAAGTATCATTGAGAGTGCAATAATTATTCTCCTGACCATGCAGAGCCGCCGCGGAGTGTGAAGATTTTTGAGGAAGGCGTACCAACCCCCCGGGGCAGCTCGGGGGGCAGCGTGGGGCTGGTGGGGCCTTACATGGAGGGGGACGTGGTGAGCCTGCGGTGTGAGGTCTTAGGAGGTGAGTGGATTTTGTTAAATTTGAGTTTTTACAGCGTTTCTTGCTTGAGTTTATGTTAACACTGCTCGTATGTAGACTCGATTTATGGGAAACAAATTTTCACTGACAGCCATTATCCTATTTGCAAAATACGAATATTGCCACAGTATGCGTATTAATAAATTAACAACAATTAGCTCATTGACAATATTCTAACTATAGAAGTAATTAACACAAAATGTTCATCTTACGTTACGTGTTTTAATCAAGATTAATTGTTAACTTGAAGGTATCCCTTACCCGGCGGTAAGTTGGTGGTACCGGGGCGTACCAGTTCCCTCAAGTGGCACCTCACGTAAGGGTGAAGTGTCAAGTACCAGCCTTGACTTGCCGAGCCTGGCTCGCCGAGACCTGAAGTCTGAAGTTATGTGCCAAGCACTGAACACCAACACCACTGAACCTCTCTCCGCGTCAGTGCTGATCGACATAACGTGTGCGTGATCTGTCTTTCATTTTGTCATTTGCGTTACGCTTGAGCTATGGTGATCTGTCTTTCATTTTGTCATTTGCGTTACGCTTGAGCCATTTAGTTCTGTGTTCTATTATTGATTTCATCCTTGGACCGGCTACCTGAGTGCTTCTTGGTTGGTTTGACGGCTTAATCAGATAATTCTGAGCTTCTGGCTGATTTACCATTGAACCAGCTAACCGAGTGCTAGATAACGTCGCTGGCCTTTGCGGAAAAATGGAATAGTGTCGTATCATTTTCTTTGCCGTAAAATTCATTTTATCGGCATCCTTACAGTAAATTTGTTCTCTGCGCTGCTCTATCTTAAAAATAATCCAATTTTTGACAGATCCCGCTTTAATATCAAGGTTTGTCGTCAACTAATCCTCATGAACTTACTTTAATTCCACGATAATTCGCCTTCAGCATTTAGTTGCTGAACTATAAACTTCCGAAAACTTTTCCTCTCATTTCTTGATACACGAAATCAATTTTCAGCCATTTCATTATCATGTAATTCAAATTTCCAATGGTGATCGCCTTGCATCTTTCTTACCTTCATCAATTTTTGTCGGTCCCGTTTATGCCATCCACTGAATTTCACACTCTAGCTTGAACCCAACATTATTCATCAGAGAACTGTACGATCCCATTCTGCATTCATGGTTTAAAATGACTGCAGCTTGATATACTGCAATTATTCAACTGCTGACACACGATCAGCTGGCAGACTTACTACCATCATCCATAACTCTCTTACCTGCACCCCACCAAGTCACCTCCTCTTACAACAGCTGTCACACGATCAACTGGCAGACTTACTACCATCATTCATAACTCTCTTACCTGCTCCATACCAAGTCACCTCCGCTTACAACTGCTGTCACACGATCAGCTGGCAGACTTACTACCATCATTCATAACTCTTTTACATGCACCATACCAAGCCACCCTTCGTGCCGCTCTCTCACACGATCAGCTGGCAGACTTACTACCATCATTCATAACTCTTTTACATGCTCCATACCAATTCACTCTTCGTGCTGCGCTCTCATATATTAAGTACGCGTTCCTACTTTACTCCATCGATTTAAGTTCACTGGCGCACGCCACCTCGCGCGCGTCTTTTCGAACACCTCGTAAAATTCTACGTAGAAATAAATGACCGTCTTGCTTCCGGCACACGCACGCCATCGTGATTTGTTTCACTGTTAACGGAATGGTTGCTTTGTTAAATGATGCAGTGCGAACCATCGCAGCTGTTAAGTGAAGTAAATTATTTTTGCAGTAATTAAGGTACTTTGAATTACTTCGATAATAAGCGCCTTAATTATGAAGTTTAATACAAAATTCGATTACGATTAATAATTTCATAATTTATGTAGTGATCACTTTGATAAAATTCCAGCTGATAAAATTGAAACAAAAGTTTGTAAATGTCAATACGAAGGAATGATTTTAATAACCTCGAGTGAACAATGCATCAAAAAGTAATTTAAGATTGATAATTCATTTGAAGAAATTATGACTTATTTTGGTTCCTTACAAGTTTCTTAGCAATCAGTACTTGTTTTAATTAGTTTAGTGGAATGTATTGTCATGGATATTGAGAAAATATCTGATATTGATAAAATATCTGTTGTTAATTCCGCTTGGAATTTATAGTAAACCATCAACGTAAGTGGAGGCTGTAATGTAAAGAATAGTGTTGCTGTGGAGTGTGAGTTGGAGTCGGCAATTGAATATGGTGATGTTGGGAAGTACTTTTTGAAGCATTAAAAAAATTTTAAATTTGCAATTTGATGTGATGCATTGCCTACAAAATGGACTGCAAAGGCCTCAGTAAGCACAATTATAACCTTAAATCATATTTTATTCTTTAATGAAAGGATTTTAGCAAGACCTAAATTTAACAAAATTGAATACAACAGCATTTAATTATTTCAAAAATCATGAACGCATTGATAACCTTTCAGGATTTGAAAACTAAGAATTTTTTTTGTTTTCCCAGAGTTTATCTTTTGAATGCAACCGTTTGTTGGTTCTTTTAATAGTCGGTGCTCTGATAAGGAAATGTTATTACATACGATTTTGTGGGCCAATGAGGAGTCATTTTTCACATAAATATATTTATTGTATTTATGATTAATTTTTATTCATAATTATATAATTTGTTATTCATATACATTTGTTGTTCATAATTATTTGTTATTCTATTCATAATTATAATTGTGTTGTGTTATGTTATTGTTAATTGGTTTATTGTATTTATGATTAATTTATTGTTATTGTATTTTTTACATAAATATATTTATTGTTTTATTATTTATATATAATTTATTTAATTTGCAGTAACGCCGCTGCGGGTTGAGATGAAAGGTTTATCGTCCCCCCTGGTTGAGGGGGTGGCCACCACCCTGGAGTGCGAGAGCGTTGGTTCGCGACCACCCGCTACCATAACATGGTGGTGGGATGACGCACCCCTCCACCACTCTGCTGATGCTACCAACCTAGTCGTCAACCAGGTGTATACTCTCGTACACATGTAAATTATTTATACAATTCTAAAAACATTATTAGATACTTTCTTCAAGGAAATTCAGTCATAATGAAAAAATTTCGTACACAAGTAAATTATTTATACAATTCTAAAAACAATAAATAATACTTCTTTGAAGGATATTCAGTCATAATGAATAAAAAATAATATATCTCTTTGAAAATTATTTATACAAGTCTAAAAACAGTAAATAACACTTTCTTTAAGAAAATTCAGCCATAAAGAACAAAAAATGATATATCTCTTGTAAAATAATGATTTTGAATCCCAGAATTTCGATGACGGTAACGTCACTCGCGCAACTCTGACGATCACGCCGCAGTTGTCAGACGAGGGCGCTGTGGTGACGTGCAAAGCTCGGAACTCCAGGCTGGATCACAAAGATCTGGAGGATCATGGATCTATCACAGTGCACTGTGAGTATCCAGGGCCTATACTTTCAAAAAAAGTTAAGAGATCGTAAGTTCATCCGCCAATCATTGACGGGCTTTCAAGCCAGATCTACCAATCATAGACAAGAAAATAGTACTTGTCTATGATTGGTAATAGTAATAAGTACTTACGTTCACTTAGCGAGTTTTGAAAGGATGGCCCCAGTTCTGTCAAATCCAATATTCAACATTAAGGCATCTGTTCTTGTGATGAAAATTTTCTCAGATTGTTATTATTGATAAAATTTAATACGATTTCGGAAGATAGAATATCTTTTTAATGTGGTTTGCTGATACGTGCGTGTGTAGGCACAGCGATGTTTCATGCCTGAACATCAACCTCAGAGCATTTAAATTATTTATTCATCATTCAAGACTTATAATTTTAAATAAACACATCACCACTTTCCCTTCCATTCCCAAGAGGCTACAAGGTGCACAGTGAAGTCTGGTTAGAATTCTAAACTCAAAAACGACATAATCTCCTGTCCATATTTTTGCTCTACGCGACAAAATTACTGAGCCAAGTAATTATAGTCTTGATTTAAATAACGTCTTACAGCGCTGAGCTATCTACACTGCGGCTCCTGTCTGGCCAGAACCAGAACCTTAATTAAGATATTTTTACTAGGTAATTTTCTACTGACATGATTTTCGAAATGACACGGAATTAAGAACAAAAAAATTTAAATCTTTACCTAAGTAACTTTCTGACGTTTACTTCGAGTGCGACATTTCTGCCAACCCAAAGTCCTTCAAAGTGTCCTGGCTTCACAACGTGAGTGCTATATTATCAAGGGATATCTTCAATAATTAGCAAGTTAAGATTATATTACTATAACATAGTATCTTATAGTAGAATCAGGGCAGAAGAATAAGTTTAGTTTGGCCTGTCGCCGAGTTTGGCCTGTAATTTCTCGACTTGTGTACATGAGACCTGAAAGCTGTTGTTTTATCAGATCTTTTCAAATAACCACCACAAGTCTGAACATACATTCCTGCACAACTTTGTCTAGTCTCTTCGATCGGAGCGTCAACGAAGCCAGCGGGGAGCAGGCATGACGAGCCGAATACTACTTTAGCCACCGCAATGGATTACATTTTCGCAATACTCAAGCCAGCCACCGAAATATACTATATTTTTGCAATACTCATGCCATCGAAATATATTATATTTTTGCAATATTCAAGCCACCGCAATACATTACATTTCGCAATACTTAAGCCACCGCAACGCATTACATTTTCGCAATACTTAAGCCACCTCAATGCATTACCTTTTTCAATACTTTAGCCACCGCAGTATATTACATTTTTTCAATACTTAAGCCACCACAATACATTATATTTTCGCCATACTTAAGCCACAGAAATAAATTACATTTTAGCAATACTCAAGCCACCGCAATACATTACATTTTTCAATACTTAAGCCACCACAATACATTACAAATAAAATATTTAATCAACGTGATGAAATTGACGTAAGATTATTTACAACAGCAAAAAATCGAAAACTTAGGTTCGAAATTTTTGTTTCACTATCTAAAGAAATTCTTGCGTTTACTCAATCTTATAACTATTGTAAAAATGATCTAAAATGACTCACTTATCCCAGTGAAAACTCGATACAAAATTTAACTCTGCTTGGTTGCATAACAGGAAAATCACAACTGGAACCCTAGTTTTTCCCTCCTGGCAACCAGCTGTATTAAAAAATTATTATTTGATCCGTTCTGTATTGTAAGATCAAACGTTCTGTAAGTATTTACACATCTATAAATAAAATTCGTTTTTTTTCACTAGTCCGGAAATGTTTGATTTTTTTTACGTTTCCTGGTGGACGATGAGTCATGAAGGCATCGATGATCTCCATCATCCGCATCTCGACTTTACGAGCCGATAAATTCACACAGAGTTCCGTGTCCGCAAATGTTCCGCGTCGGCAGCGTGTCCTGTCCGATATTAAAATCCATTTTTTGATATCGCGTTTGGAAGGGAAGTTGTGAGATCAAATTGTAAAATGAAAATCAGGGAAATATCAAACGTTATTTTTTTGCGTTAACATTAAAGTCCATCAAGCCTCAGTTCTGTCTTCATTCAGCAGAAGTAAATTGTATATAAATGAAACGACTCTATTAATGATTGTTTTGCGTAATTTTTGCACAGCTGCGGCACTACTCAACAATATTTTCGTTTTATTTCCGTTGCAGCGATTTTTATAGAACATTCATACGCAGGTTCGAGCCATTTACACTTTTCACAGGCATCCAACATTTAATCTTTCACAAACGATAGTCGTTTACCAATTACATAATAACTTCATTATATAAAACAAAAATAATACCTTATAAGACTCTTCTAGCAAGATAAGTTATTTGTTTTTCCGTTGTTTATTTCCCAGCGATGCAAAAACGTAAATACGGTAAAGCGATTGCAGTTAGGCGGAAGCTGCAATAAATACAAGAGATTACCTCGTGACTTTGAATTATCCACCTGCAGTGGAACACAGAAGCAGTTATGTCATGCATAGCTTATAAGCCAGCTCTGCTGACCACACCTTATGCACAGGCATGGAACTCCATCATAGAAGCTAGAGTAACATTCATGAGCGAGAATATTGCTCACATGTAGCGGCGAGAGATAAAATAGGACTCGGCTCTTGCACTGCATGCTCTCTCTCTCTCTCTCTCTTCTCTCGCTCTCTCTCTCTAGAAAATATTTACCAATGATCAGGGATACCAGATGAAAATCATTGAGCGTATGGCAGGAGCACCTGTTGTGGTTATTTTGCGTGGAATGCATGCGCTGGCAATCGCTTGTTAAAACTTGAAAGTATGTATAAAACAAACCGAAGTCCACTTTCATCCACAACAGTCTGAAGTCCACTTTCTTCCACAACAGTCTGAAGTCCACATCTTATTTTTTGAAAATTATTATTCAATTAATAGTTTCTCAAATTTCTCAATATTTTCAGTTAGACTGATACTTTGGGGCCTCCAAAAAAGTAGCAAATTGAGCAGAGTCTCCTGGATTTTCTGGTCTCTTTTGATGAAATTCATTATTTACATAATAAATATTTCGTCACTTGTTACATACATCAGTATTTATGACAAGTCAATGTAAGTGAATGCATTATTCATGTATGTATTAGGGTGAGGAACTGCACCACAACGTCACGTCTGGCGTCATCCTAAGCAACCAGTCGCTGGTGCTTCAGCGCCTACGTCGTCAGGCGTCCGGCGCCTACGTCTGCGCTGCCGCCAACGCCCTGGGACTCGGACACTCCGAGCCTGTCAACATGATCGTCAAATGTGAGTCATGATCGTCAAATGTGAGTCACGATCGTCAAATGTGAGTCACGATCGTCAAATGTGAGTCATGAGTGGGATGTGTGTCATGAGTGGGATGTGTGTCATGATTGTGATATGTTTCGCAATTGGGATCAGTTTTAAAAGTGCGATATGTATTGCGAGTGGGACAAGCTTGAATTTATTGTAATTCTTTTATTATGAATTCAATTTTATGCAATATCCTGACACAGAGGCATTAGAAACACGCGCCTTGGGCATTTATGGCTCCAGGCTCCTGCTAACAAACATATAAAAAGCGGTTTATTCTCCGAGCATATAAAATGTTAACGGTTAATTCAAAGCTTAATCGTTTATTGGCGGGGGCTTTTACTCGGAGTGATTTTTTGTACTTGAGCCCATTAACGTTTATGCATAATTAGTGATGAAAGTAAATACTAAGTGTATTATTGGTAGTAGATCTTTTCAATAATATCATTTATTTAAAAATTATATTATTATAACTATGCAGTAAAAATTATTTGAGGTTATCATCAATTGCTGTAATAATTATTATAAAATTGTTGATACGAATCTTTGACAAAAATTTGCTTAAGGCTATTAACATAATTTGATAATCTGTATAAGAAATAAGTTATACCAAATGGTCATGCGCTAAATTTAATCACTACTTCACAATTAATATAATACAGGTTGATATGCCTCGTTGTAATTAGATTAATATAAATTCTCTGAAGCTTGATTATAGTCATCACAAATGTTTTGCTTTATTGCAGTGCATGTAGCGCAGTCAAATTTTTGTCGTGTATTTTTCCGAATTCGTTCACTAAATACTTTGCTATTTTCTTAGTAATGTCGGGTTAAAACCTAGAAAAATGCAAGATTATTCCGAGCAGACCAAGGAACCGATCGCCTAATATTTGAACATCGGCACGAGGCATGAGTAGATCCTCCAGAAGTTACAAGTTACGTTGGGATGTGATTAAATAAATAATAAGATTCTGTACTAATGTTGATGTAACAACGGGACCAGGTTATAGTGTTGCAGAACGTTATGTTGACGCAACAACAGGACCAGGTTATAGTGTTGCAGTACGTTATGTTGATGCAGCAACAGAGCCAGGTTATAGTGTTGCAGTACGTTATGTTGCTGCAGCAACAGTACCAGGTTATAGTGTTGCAGTACGTTATGTTGATGCAGCAACAGAGCCAGGTTATAGTGTTGCAGTACGTTATGTTGATGCAGCAACAGAGCCAGGTGTTATAGTGTTGCAGTACGTTATGTTGATGCAACAACAGGACCAGGTTATAGTGTTGCAGTACGTTATGTTGATGCTGCAACATGACCAAGTTATAGTGTTGCAGTACGTTATGTTGATGCAACAACAAGAACATGTTAGTATTAAGGATGCTTCGCTCCATGCAAGATCAGCCCAACGCATCGCCGAGAAAATATCGTCTATTTTTGCGAGAGGCTTTAAGTGAAGAGAGGCTCCAGAGGCCAATATTGAGGAGCAGTGGACGTGAAGGGCTTCATCTCTCTGGCCTGGAGAGGCTCGATCCAGTCCCTAAATATCAAAAGGATAAAAGGACCACATTGATCCCTTCCAAGTATCGGACACGAAAAGTGTACAATAAAATACGTTAAAATATTAGGCGTTGGAAATGTTTTCGCCAAAAAGTCACGGGAAATTCATATGAATGACCTGCAAGGCTGCAATATATTTGATATCGAAATAAAAGTTTTATTTAATTGCAGACATGAATAGTTCACATGAAGGCCCGACAGAGTATAAAGAATGTCGCGACATACGCATTAGAATCATTCAAAATACCAGTCATGAAAAAATCCGCATGTATATCGGCATAATGCAGGCTAATTATAGTTTATATCAATTTATATTTTAACACTGCGGTCACTTCTCTGTACCCACACATTCTCTCCGTTGCAGCTATAACACACGCTATGCAAACAACATTGTTCCCTCACCTGGAACGTTTCCCTCGTCAACTGTCGGCCCTCGGCTGAGGGTCGGCCGGTGATATAGCGACCAAGTTTCTGCTCACTGCTCAATGGAAGGCATATCGCGGGCAGTTTCTTCCTCGCTCGTACATCACAAACTTTATTTTTGAGGCCTAAAACCTCTAAGATGACAGTTTATGATCACACCGGCAGACAGGGCGATGTCATGCCTCATAACTGTCATGATGATTTATGTTCACCACACGATACTGCGCGCTGTTGTGTCACAAAAATGTCATGATGGTTTATGATCACCGCGGGAGACAATGTGCTCCCGTGCCTCATAATTGTCATGATAGTTTATAATCACCGTGAGACGTTACGCGTTACATCGCTGGTCATGAATCACCTTGCGAATTATAATTATAGTATAATTATAATTATCAAATAATGTGTGTTATAATAAATTATAACGCGCTGCCACTGCCGTTCCATGCGTCCTATCTCCCTCAGGCTGTAGGAGTTCAAGGCACTCACTCACAGCATAATATAAAAAGCTCAACTCAAATACTTATTTAGTCCCGATAAGAATTACCTAGCTTTGTTCAAATATCCTAAGAGAGCAATGATTGCAATGCGTGGACACGCTGTTCTTTTAAATCCAAATCGTTTTCCAATATTTGTCGATTTTGGGTTCAAGTTTAGCCGACATATTTGCATAGCTATTTTTTGAACATCTTTTCTACAATACAGATTGCTTTGTAGAGATCATTTTGACTTTCGATAAAAGTAGGTTTAAACTCTTCGGAATACGGGAGCCCAGATCAAGAAAGCTCACAAAATTCTACGGCAACAACAAGCCCCTATCTAAGTCTCAAGTACAGGCTCCGTGAGTTCGATACTGCGTGATGAAAGCCGGTGGCTGATTTAGATAAGTAACTAGCATAAGAGTAGAGTGGAATAGCTAAATTAAAAATTCGGTTAAAAATCGTGTAGGAAAAGAATAAAATTATTAGATCTTTAATTTTCAGAAATTGTGTAGTTTTCCGCAATTATTTCGATAAATATTTGAGCCGTGACGAATTCAATGCAAATGAAAATTTTTGAGTGAGACGAAAGTTTTATCTTAATCTATAAATAAGAAGACGCCCGTCCAAACAAGTAATAGTAGATTAAAGCAAAAAATAAATTCATAAGATTTTAACATATAAACCAATCATTCAATATTAATAAGTGACTACATATGATCACTTCAAATTCCCCCCCCCCCTTCCCAAAAATGCCACCACGCCCCCTGTTTGTGTTTGAGGTTGCGTTATCATGCCACTGCCAATCACCATTCATCTGACAATCGTTTCATGCATTGCACAACATCCACTATCACGTCAACCAATTAAATATCAGCATTTAAATGAAACTTTCCGTACCTTGAAAGGTACGCTCTTTCCACTTTTTCAAAAAGACGGAAGTAGCAATATCTTTCAATTTAATCAATTTAGCAAAATGAAATTTACTTATATTAAAGTTTGAAAGTCTCATTTGGTGTTCGTATGATATATTTAAATTTTATCACATTTTTCTGAGGAATGACCTTATCTATAGTAGATTCTTCACATGTTAATTGCTTCTTTACAATGCTAAATTTAGGGAAATATACACGAGCATATACATCTTATGATTGTTCACACTTTCTCGTACTGGCTTCAGAAACTTTAATTTCTGAATATTTATTTGCTTTCCTGCGAAAGAAAGGAGCATGAGATGAATATTCGTAATATTATTTAATATACAAACAATAAATTCATATGCTGCCATCCATAAGCTTCATATACTTAATTGCTTCAATTCATACGCTGCTTGACGGCCATTGCTTTATACTCGTCAGATTCCCCGGTCTGTCGGACACGAGAACCTAGCGTCAAAGGAGCGGCCAAACTCGAGCGACTCAACGTCACCTGTGAAGTAGAAGCATATCCTGCGGCAACATCCTTCAGGTGAGTGGAAGTGTATCCTGCTGCAACATCCTTCAGGTGAAGTGGAAGTGTATCCTGCTGCAACATCCTTCAGGTGAGTGGAAGTGTATCCTGCGGCAACATCCTTCAGGTGAGTGGAAGTGTATCCTGCGGCAACATCCTTCAGGTGAGTGGAAGTGTATCCTGCTGCAACATCCTTCAGGTGAGTGGAAGCGTATCCTGCAGCAACATCCTTCAGGTGAGGGGAAGCGTATCCTACGGCAACATCCTTCAGGTGAGTGGAAGCGTATCCTGCGGCAACATCCTTCAGGTGAGTGGAAGCGTATCCTACAGCAACATCCTTCAGGTGAGTGGAAGCTTATCCTGCAGCAACATCCTTCAGGTGAGTGGAAGCGTATTTTGTGGCAACATCCAACATCAAGAGATGGGCGGTTAAACTTGATATACGTATTAAGCCTTGTATGAACGGCAATATCCACCAGGTTCGAAGGAGCGAAATGCCAGGCAATTAAGTGGGACGAAGTAGACTCGCTTCCAGCATGGCCTTGTCTTGACAGAGCCCTTATTGATCCATTTATACCATGGAATTAAGGTTCAACGTAGTCGTTATTGATCCATTTATATTATGAAATTAAGGTGCAACATAACCCTTATTGATCCATTTATCTTATGTAATTAAGGTTCATCATAGCCTTTATTGATTTATTGATGCACTTATCTCATGTCATTAAGGTGCAACATAGCCCTTATTACTCCACTTATCTTATGTAATTAAGGTTCAACAATAGCCCTTATTGATCCACCTATACTATGAAATTAAGGTTCATCATAACCCTTATTGCTGCACTTATCTTATGTAATTAAGCTGCAAAACAGTTCTTATTGCTGCACTTATCTCATGTAATTAAGCTCAACATCGCCCTAATTACCCACCGCCCCACCACGGTGCAGGTGGGCATTTAACACGTCAGCAGAGGTGGTCTCCATAGACCCTGGCCGCATCGAAGCGGTGAGCGGAGACCTGCGAGACGTGGCCTACACGCCTCGCTCACAGCTCGACTACGGCTCACTGCTCTGCTGGGCTACCAACGCTGTCGGCCAGCAGAGGGTGCCTTGTGTCTTCCATATCATACACACCGGTGAGCAGAACTTGTCTTCAACTGTAGCAACACATCATACACACCGGTGAGCAGAACTTGTGTTGAACTGTAGCAACCATACACACCGGTGAGCAGAACTTGTGTTGAACTGTAGCATCACATCATACACACCGGTGAGCATAACTTGTCTTGAACTGTAGCAACACATCATACACACCGGTGAGCAGAACTTGTCTTGAACTGTAGCAACACATCATACACACCGGTGAGCAGAACTTGTGTTGAACTGTAGCAACACATCATACACACCGGTGAGCAGAACTTGTGTTGAACTTTATAGCAACACATCATACACACCGGTGAGCAGAACTTGTGCTGAAATGTAGCATCGTAATGGAGAATATGTTTAGTAAAATAAGATATTTTAGTCAATCATTTCAAGCATTGTGTGTTCTCTTACGTTCTTTTCAATGATTTTCTATTCATAAGAGCAATTTTATGTAAATTATGCGGCAAACTAGACTAATACCCAGGAGCAAGAACAAAGCCACAAATACCCATTTTGTTGGTCATAAATAAAGACAAAGACAAGAATGACACTCATTGAGAAGAATATTTTCATTATATGTTAAACATTGAAGAAAATATAGGAGAGCTTTGTGGCTGTTATTCATTTTCTGCTATTTCACGAAACGGTGTGCAAAACGAAAAATTTATGTTGCCTATCTGTCACAGAAGTCTCTTAAAACTCCTACGCTAGTGCACACTTATGTAAAAGTCTTACTAATCATTTCTTTATTCTTACAACTGCACCCAAAACATTTGCGACTTGATAATTTTTCATCAAAGAAGTGCATTGTTTCAAAGCCGTTCCAGAGCCTGTGCACAACTGCTCAGTCTCGGAAGTGAGCCGCACGTCAGCAACGGTGCGGTGTCAGGCGGGCTGGGACGGCGGTCTACCTCAGACCTTCACGCTTTCCGTCAGTCAAGACAGTCCGCCTGACGCCAGCCCCAGCGCCAACTCCAGCAGCTCGGCGCCCAGAGTTCTGGCCAACACCTCGAGTTCCCCGAAGGCTGAGTTCTCGGTCACGGGGCTGGACCCCGGCAAGGAGTATGCGCTCACTGTGTCCGCCGTGAACGCGCGTGGTGGTAGCGCTCCTGTGCGCATTGTGCTTGAGACGCTCGAGGATAAGGCCCAGAAAAGAACCAGTCTTGGGGGTGAGTAATGAGCAGGCTTTGCTATGATGGTTTGATTCATTAGCTTTCATGATAAATGATTTATGGATGAAGATTTGTTCATAGAATGCAAGAATATATACGAGTAGCAGATTTTAAGTGAAGAATAATTATGAGTCTCCAATTAGTTTATAATGGAAGTTGTACTCTTCGCAAATTTGAGCATTGCTATTTAAGTATTTCAATCGCGTTGCCCTCCCGCTTCGCAATTTTTGAAACGATGCAACTTTCATCTCAATCCCGAACAAAAATTGTAGGAGCTAGGATGGGACCAATAAAAACGCAAAAAAATAGGAGGCGTTGCTCTTCGAAGTCGTTAAAAAGTTTGGACAATTCTTTCGTGTTAAAACTCATAATCGCTGCAGATTACCGCAACTTTCAGGGATAAAATCGCTCGTTGGCAGCCACTTCGTTCGAGTTGAGATTTGGTGGCTCTATTTAAAAAATTTTAGTTTTGAAACAATCTTGGAATTTTTTCTACGTATTTTGATGTAAATATTTCTACTTTAATACGCTCATACATAAAAGATCATATACATCTGAAAATAATTGTAAATGAAGTAGACATCTTTTAATAATCAAAGTGGTACCAATAGATTTTAATTAATATTGCGTTCAATCAATTAATATTTGTATTCGTTGATTATGAATCACTGATTCGTTTTCAGGTTTGAACAGCGTTTGCCAAACCAGCAAATAGTTGCCAAGGAAATGCATGCATAGAGTATATTAATATGAGAGTTTAATGTCATTACGGTCCTCTGGCGCCGCTGGTAGCAGGCGTGGTGGTAGCGGTGGTATCACTGCTACTGTCGTGCGTGGTGGTCGTGGTGGTCATCAAAGCCCGGCGATCGTCACGCACAAAACCTCGACGGAATTCGACCCGAGAAAAAAATGATGGTTTTTCGATGAGCAACCAAACTGAGCCTTCAGACACCACCTACCTGGACACTGCAGGGTCTAGTCCTGACGTCATCCCGTACACTAATTGTGAGCTGAACTAGTATATTAGATAGTATATGTATTATAAGTAGTATAATAGATAGTAGTAGAACTAGTATAATACATGATATATGTATTATAATTAGCATAATATATGGTATATGTATTATAACTAGTATAATACGTAGTATATGGATTAAAACTATTTTAGTAAATAGTAGTATATAAGAAATTCAGAATAAATTACTTTTATCGCCATTATCTTTCGTCAAATTGCTTGAATTAGTTTATTACTTGTAAGATGAATGAATCCAGATGCCATCAGGTTCGATAATTTGATTAGAATTTTATAGTTTCCATTTACTCTATGCCCATTCTGTAATTTCGTGCCAAGAGACCAAAACGGACACATTTTATTGTGTGTTGTTCATGAACAATATGGGAAACAGTGCAATGTCCTCTTTGGGGAATACCTTTGTACATATATATTATCTATTTTATACCTTACTTAGCTATGAAATATATGGTTTATTGAATTGCAGCTGCCTTTTTAATAGAGATTGCTTATCTAGCGGTGACATCGTCATAATGCTAATTTAGGAAGATTCTTAATAATTTAATTTTGCTAATTTGAAAGTACTATGCTCCACAGTGCCAACCCCACCGAGAGCCCCTGCTGTGTCCTCAAGTCTCACGTTCAACCAATTATCATTACTGGATGTCGAACACCACCACCACCACCACCACCATCACAACCTCTACAACCATAACACTCCACATCAAGACATCACAGCTCAGCATACCAGAATTGGATCCCTGCCTCGATCTGTGAGCCTTCTTATTATGATTATTGTTTCCAAGCCACATTTTCTATTGTCTGAAATATAACAAAAAAATTAAAATATACCGCAACACTAATCGATTCTGGTTTATTCTTTTGATATCCATAATATTTTTCTCCAATTCCTTGCGTCTTTTCATAACAATTTATCAGTTTTTCTTTATGCTCCACAGGGCAAAACTCCGCGGGGTTATTATACCTCAGATCAATTCCAACATCACAGAGTGTGTGGTGCTCAGACTCAAAAATCCCACTCAAGTATGCACAGTTTGCTCCAGATTGATGAACGATCTCGAGCAGCTTTCTTGGACTTGGATTTAACGAGATCCAGCGAAGCAGATCCTGTTTCGTCTGATGGTCCTGCTGTGAGCCATTTGTCTGCAATCAGCGATACGGCTGATGACCCTCGAGATAAAGAGGTCATGTCATCAAAGGACCGTCAAGGAGTATTACCTCGGAAGGTTCCACTCAAACATCAGCAGGTGGACATGGCGGTCTGGAGGCAAGGCAGATTTAGTCCTGCTCTGCAAGACAACACTCAAGAGGTGCCTTTCTCTCCATCTTCCGCCTCGAGTTTGCCTACCGGACAAAACAAGAAGGATCCTGAAAGCCAAACTCCAGCTCTTTCATCGGCTTCAAGTGCCGCTATGAAGTCCGTTGAATTTCAGAGGACGGAAAATAATGCAATAAATTCATCGGTTCCTTCTACAGTAAAATCTTTTAATGGTTTAACAGATTCACTTGAGATTGGAGTATCTTATCATCTGCCTCCACTGCAAGAAGATATTAATTTTGACGGCAGAGTGTACAGTAAGAACGAAACTTTCTTCTCGCCACCTCCCATGTTTTCTAACTCGTCCCCTCCATTTGTGATGCCTCAAACTGCTCAAGATATTTCGTCGGTGGGTGGAGCCACTGTAGACGAAACGCTCAAGTGTGACAGGCTTAAGAATAGACAAATAAGTGATGGTAAACCTTCATGGCGGGGCGCGAGTAACGTAATGGGCTCAGGCAGCGTTAAAATTGCTTCGCCTGAATTATTATGTAAACAAAGAGGACAGAAAAGCCCGAAATCTTTCATTAAAAAAGAAAGTTCCGTGTGAAGTTACGGCAGCTGTCTACGATATATATTTTAAAAAGAATGCATTCCATATTAATTTAAGTGGGGCAGCAAAATTCGACATTTTTGAAAATTTATTTAATGAATTCATAATCAAATCAAGGAGAGCGCTATTTGATGTAAGTGGTGAATCATTCGAAATAGTTTCAAGTTATACAATACCTGCGTAATAATGACATAAAAAGTTATTAATTTTTTCATTAATTAATCAAAATAAATGATATCTCAGATTGCCCATGTAGAAATTAGAATAATTTCTTGTTATCTGAGGTTTATCATTTATTCCTTTATGACAGTAAATTTACGACTAAATTTGAACACACTAAATCATAAATACCCTAGCTCATAATTTTATAAGTATGTTGTTAATCTGTGTGTGCGTGCAATGAATACACAAGTTGTTAGTGTATTTGTATGCTCGTTAATATTTGTATGCGGTGAATATTTTTGGAACTGATGAAAATATCTATCTCATATGATGCCACAGTTCGATGTCATATTTAGTCTAATATTTCAGTAAATGCTTACTCATAATAGACATAAAGCTGGTATCCAGTTCATATGTATTCAATAATTTAAATATGATGTAAATTATTTTAAATTTGCGTTGGTTACCTATTTAAATATTTGCATTGATTGATATATTAGTACATATGATGATTGGAAACACGACTAAGGACTAAATACGCAAATAGATTTCCATTAACAGAAAGCACATTGGAACTACATTAATTATTCGTACCAAGGACTTGCATTCAATTAATTTTTTGTAAACTACATGTAACTTGAGAACTGTTAAATGTTGTTTGAATAATCAGTTCTTTTATTTATATCAATGCAACGTCAAGGCGGGAAAATTTCGCTTATAAATCAGGCCAGAATTGCGTAGCAATTTTACGGACGATGAGAGGCATTTCTCCAGGCGTAATTATCATTTGTAGAATAAAATAAAAAAATAAACGATAATAAACGATAATAAAATAACGACTGCAGAGACTGCGGCGTTTATTGGGGAAAGAGAACGAATGAGCTTTAAAATAATATTCGCATTTCTATAGAAGATGGTGAATTTCAACTATCATTTATAAACATTTTTTCTAATTCTACCACAGTCGTTAAACCATTAATTGTATATTTCTAGTAAAATTCTTTAGCAATAAGTAATTATACAGTCCTTTCTATAAGATATAGTGTTTGAAAATTTCTATGATGCGCAAGGTAGTGATTCAAAATAAACCAAATAAATTAATATTTCAAATATCACTTTGAAATTCTACGCTCAAACATTCTTGTTCTAACGTGAACAAAGACAAAAACTCGCAAAGAAATGCAAATTTTTTTAGTGTCAAAACTTTCGAGGGGAGAGAATCGTGACATAACTTTTATGAATATCAAATCCTTCTCAAAATATTTATATACACAGCGCTTCACACGGCAGGATTCACGACGCCATTTCTCATGTTCCTCATGCCATGTCTCATGTTCCTCATGCCATGTTTCATGTTCCTCATGTCATGTTTCATGTTCCTCATGCCATGTTTCATGTTCCTCATGCCATGTTTCATGTTCCTCATGCCATGCTTCATGTTCCTCGTGCCATGTCTCATGTTCATCATGCCATGTCTCATATTCCTAATGCCGCATCTCATGTTCCTCATGCCATGTTTCATGTTCCTCACCCATGTTTCATGTTCCTCATGCCATGTTTCATGTTCCTCGTGCCATGTCTCATATTCATCATGCCATGTCTCATATTCCTAATGCCGCATCTCATGTTCATCATGCCATGTCTCATATTCCTAATGCCGCATCTCATGTTCATCATACCATGTCTCATATTCCTAATGCCGCATCTCATGTTCCTCATGCCATGTCTCATGCTCCTCATGCCATGTCTCATGTTCCTTTTGCCATGTCGCATGTTCCTCATGCCATGTCTCATGTTCCTCACGCCATGTCTCATGTTCATCATGCCATGTCGCATGTTCCTCATGCCATGTCTCATGTTCCTAATGCCATGTCTCATGTTCCTCATGCCATGTCGCATGTTCCTCATGCCATGTCTCTTGTTCCTCATGTCTCATTTTCCTCATGCCATAATTCCCGTCTCATGTTTGTCACGACTCTCGTAAGCGCAGTAAGTGCCTGGCGACGTGCAGAGTTTGGGTGCATTTCAAAATGTACCATCGCAAGAGCAGGTGAGTGGCGTATTAGCCGACAAGCTTTACAATTTCTGGCTGGCAGAGTTTTTAAATTTTACGCAGGACTTCGACGCCGCAGGATATTTTCTAAAATCTCAGAGAATATTGAATTCTCGACAGTTTCAAAAAAATTCTTAGTTGATTTTATATTTCTTTTCGTGGTTTAACGTGATGGAATTGCAACATATTTTCTATTTTATTTCCCATTTTGTAGTTATAATTTTGAGTCATAATTTATAATAAACTCGTAAACTAAAATTTCTAAAACTATAATCTCCGTTGTAAAGGCAAGGGTACATTCTTTACTAATGTAGTTGCATTGAAACCAGGAAACTGGTCTTCCGATCGCACTTTATGTCGCAAGATATAAAAAGAAAGCTGTAGACAAAGCATACAATTTTTTGCTAGCATTAGGGGTTTTGAGTCGAGGTTTGCAGTGACTGGGTTCGGATCTTCAGGTTTCAGGCATCGAAAACGCGCTGTGCGATCGATTGCAGCGCTAAACTAATTTGCGACGAGTGGGAATGCTGGAGACCGGGGGAGATGACGAAAGGTTGCAGTCTGGAGATGAAGTTTTCAGTGGGAGATAAGGTTGTAGCATTTTGATGTTCCCATTATATTGTTTTGAAATTATGGAACTTATCGCTATTCATCATGGTTATTGAGTATCGAAGATTTCATCGTAATTTATGATTACTGATTACCTTGAGCTGGCGCTTTGGCTTATTATATATAGAAACTTAAGAATCCTCTCTCTTCCATTTAAGAAAATGGAACATCAGACGTTAATTTGTACTGCACTGAATGACTGCTAATGTAAATAACTTTTCAGCATTATACATTAAATGCTAAGGCGATAACGCATCGTGGAATCTTTATAAATTTATTATGATTTCTACGCCATATATCGAGAACTCGATTCCACTGCAATTCAGCTCAGTAAGAAGTGAACGCACCAGTAAATATATACAAATCCAGCGTACGGCAATAGTTAATACAAAAGTTAATAGAAACTAAAGAAAACCAACAGTGGTTCGAAATTACTGCATTTCTTGAATAATCAAGAGATTCAAAGCGAGAGATTACTTGATTCTTGATTCAAGATTACACACCCAGCGACTTTCTCTATACACATACAGAGAGAATAGCACCAAAATCAGCTGATTAATAATAATATGATCTATTTAACGACTATAAATATGATAAATGATTAATTTCACAAGCAATCTAACAACATTTTATTATATTGTACTTGACAATGGCCTTTTTAGAATTTCGGTCGATATTTCCTGCAAATAGACAGATGCCGTTAAGGTTAACTAACAAATATGAAGGAAATAAATGAGTTGAGAAAACTCAACATAATTATCTAAATGTATATCATTCAATATACGTACAAGTTTATAAAATTGCCGTATTAACTCTAATCCATCTTCATTTCTAAATAAACTCTTCAGAAGACCGAATCAGAGCAATTCCAAAATTCATTCAACCATTCAAGAATCTGTTAAGTACTGTGTTGGACAAGGTGCATTGGTGAATTTGCTTTGCGTTTTCTTTGCTTTTGAATTCGTTTAATACTTTATTTTAATGAACTCAAAACTGGAGTGCATTTCCCCGGCTTGATGCCAAAAACAGTAACTCGATACAGTGATGACCTAACATCTAAATATAAACAGAACATCGAACCAAACATGCAACCAAATTCCACTTTTACGGTTTCGAACAGGAGAAAAACGGGACGGTTGTGCGCGGGACCGTTGCTTTAGTGACCGTTGTGTGAGGGAACGTTTCTACTAGACCGTTGTGTCCAAGACCGTTGTGTACATGACCGTAGTGTACAAGACCGTTGTGTCCAAGACCGTTGTGTACAACAGTACAAGACCGTTGTGTCCAAGACCGTTGTGTACATGACCGTAGTGTACAAGACCGTTGTGTCCAAGACCGTAGTGTACAAGACCGTAGTGTACAAGACCGTTGTGTTCAAGACCGTTGTGTCCAAGACCGTTGTGTACAAGACCGTAGTGTACAATACCGTTGTGTTCAAGACCGTTGTGTCCAAGACCGTTGTGTTCAAGACCGTTGTGTCCAAGACCGTTGTGTACAAGACCGTAGTGTACAAGACCGTTGTGTTCAAGACCGTTGTGTCCATGACCGTTGTGCTCAAGACCGTTGTGTCCAAGACCGTTGTGTACAAGACCGTAGTGTACAAGACCGTTGGAGCTACGAAATTGTACACCAACTCCATCGCGTTCGAATACGTAGTCGAACAGAAACGCTACGCCGAGTAAAAGTGCCGGAAAGGTTGGGGAAAACTTCCCCATCACGCTCCTTATTCGACGCTCTCTGAATGCTAATGGCATTTAGACCAGTCGGAAGCTTTAGGAATGTGTTAAACCCTGAGATGGTCTGTAAGTTGGGGCTCTTGCAGCTACTTTCATCTTATAATGTTGGAAAATTGTTACTAATGGTTTACAGTCTGCATGAAAAATGCGCTGCTTAATTTCAGAAATATTTCAAAATTATTAAAATAGTGGGAATTCGAAATTCATTTTTATTCGACCTTCAAAGAACTGAGATGCGTGGCAACATTCAGCGCCTATCACGTAACTGATTTTAATAAGGTAGGAAAATTTGGCTATAGCAGACAGAAAATACAAGACATTTGTATGAGAGAAATCAAGATGTCGATAAAAATTAGAACCGTGATTAATTCAGAGTTGCCCATTTGAAACGGCTTGCTTATATGCAACACTTGGTATCTTCAAATTTTGCCTCAGGAGAAGTACAGAGGGAGGGCAAATTTTTCGCTGCACGAGCAAATGAACCAAATTTTTGTTACCGTGAACTGCTGGCATCATCAGACGATGCTATTGTCCATCTTTATAAAATCATGAATCACTACGAGAGCAAAACACCGGCAAAGATCCCAAAGTCGAATATATCTTCGCTTTACAATAAATTTACTTCCCAAGAACGACCAAAATTTTTGAAAATTAGGATAGGCTCTTCAATAAATATCAATGAGACTACTAGTATGCATGAGATTTGATGAATCTATTCATTACTTCAGTTTATTCACTTTGAATCCCTCTTAACAATTCAATACCTTAAATGCCACCCTCTTCTCTACTCTCCTGCATGCGCTCTTTAAACATTTTTTAAATTCCATCAGCTGCTGATCCCACCAATCGTTCTTGTCCAATAATCACCTCTCACACCCCACAACATCACACTCACTTTTTCGGTCAGAAACGCCCCTCATCATCTCAGATACACATGCACCTTCCTTCTTAATTGTGCTGTGCCATAGTCTCCTCCTAACCCCCATCACGCATTTAGCACGAGTGCTCATCTCTTCAGTTATTACGGCGAGGCATCATTTTTGGCAGTTATTTTGAGACAGTTTTTTTATATGAGGCAGCCATTTTGATCACGCAATTGGCACGTGTGCTCTTCTCTCCAGTTATTACGGCGAGGCATCATTTTTGGCAGTTATTTTGTGACAAAGGTTTGATTGAGGCATTTTTTTTTTATTTGAGGCAGTTATTTTGATCATGCATTTAGCACGAGTGCTCCTCTCTCCAGTTA